ACATATATTTATGTTGAAACCTCAAGCATTTTTGTTGCTTCTTAATGTTGAAAACATAATAATATCTTATTTCTACAGACACATTTACAGATACATTCTCAGAAAGTGAGGATAGCTGCTATGGTAAGCACAAACCATAGCACTTTGAAGGTTTAATGCTTGGGTTACATTAGATTATTTTTTTAATTGTCTGTAACATGTCAATTTATTGAACAAACAGGAACATCCATTAAGGACAGCTCAGAAGAGGAGGAGAAGGAGAAGGAGGAGGAAGAAGAGGAAGAGGAAGATGAAGAGTGTGGTGAGAAACACACTTTAAACCACCTAAACAGACCCTATACTTTTACTCATTTGGGGAACCTGGTAGGAAGTTTTAAACCAGTTTGAGGTTATTTTGGATGAAAATAACATCTGCCTGCAGATATTTGCTTTGCTTCACCTGAATTTTGCTTTTGAAAAAGCAGAAAAGAAAAAACAACTTCTCGCATAAAACTTAGTCCTAGATGATTAATGTAGTTGTTTATTCTAGTTGTTACAGGAACAAATGTTTTTACGAGACTAAAATGCGTGATCTATACTCAGGATGAGTCAGCTGGTTGATGGATTTGATGAGCATTGGATTGTTACTGCACCTTTTCCAGATTAATATGAAAGTTGTATGAGTTGTATGATTTTTATAAGGATATACTTTTTATTATTATTTTTTCCTTCTGGCATTATTTGTGTACATGCTCATCCATTATTTCATTCATTTTAGAATGAATGAAATAATTCTAAAATTATTGTTTTAGTACCGTAATTGATTATTCTGACAATCGATCAATCGGATAAAAAACTAAGGTTGCAGTGTTTTATTTTGCTATGTTTTAAATATGAGAGACATTTCTTAAAGGATAACAAAACTAAAATGATGCATTATGATCATACCAGTGATTTCTATAGGGCAACAAATAGGACAGTAAATATTACAGCAGGATGTTTACTTGTCATTTCTTGATTGTATTCTCTAATGTTTTCTTAAGGATTGGGAATTGTTTTTTTTTTGTTTGTTTTTTTTTACATTTTTCTGTTGTTTATTCTGACAGCTCACAACTTCCAGTTTAACTGTGAAAAATGTGAAGGCATCACTCAGGTGAGATTTGAAACCAGATATTTCCTGCTTGTATAGCTTAATTTTGTTCCAACTTCCCAATAACCTTTAAAGCCTCATCTTCTCCCTCTTTCATCCATCTTTATTTTACTATTTTTTCATATTTATGGTTATGCAAATAAATGACTGGATGTTCTCTCCACAGACCCACGGCTCAGAGCTTGTTACTCCACAGAGGATTTCAAACAGATGTTTCCAGTGAGTGAGACACACCGTCCATGCAGTAGGAACTTACTTACTAATCGGTGCCATCACTCACTCTGTGTGTCTGTGTTTAAAGAATGCAGCTGGAAGCAGAAGGCTCATACGAGTGTTCGGTCACTGGTCTGGTTTTTGAAGCAAGCGAGCCGGTTCTGGTGCGGTATTCGGTCCTATCCTGGTCCAAGTTTGGCTCGTTCTTATCAAACTCCTGGAAATTTGCTGGACCAATCTTCGACATTGACACCGTCAACAAGGAGGCGTCTGTGCTCACATCCATCCACCTCCCCCACTCTGTTTGCTTAGCCCGTAAGAGCAACAGCGACCGTTTGTAGCCTGTGATTAATAAGAGTCGCCATAAAACTTTGCTTCATGTCTGATATTTTCTAGAGTCTCCTGACAACAGTGTGCTATTCAGGATCTTGCATGTTGTTGATGAGGCTTTCATCGAACCACCCTCAGACTACTCAGGTAGCCACGTTAAGTGGAGCGTGAGGTCCCTGTCCCCTGTGTGTCCCATCATTCCAGCAGATGAACAGGCTGAGTACCATGGCGCGGTTCTGATCTACAAACGGATCAACACCAACAACCACATCTTCCATGTCTACCTGGCCCTGAATAATATTTCTGCCATTAAAGTAGGTACCATTTACCTTGGTAGCGCTATGGACACTAAGTGATTTCTTTTAAGTTTTAACTGACATTGGTTTCATGATTTGTGATGCCTGCTGACAGAGGGGAAAACTTGCTTTTTTTTTTTTAAGTGAGACACACTTTAGACCAGTGGTGTCCAAAGTCGGTCCTAGAGGGACGGCATCCTGC